AAGCGATTGTCTTGCCTCAGCCTCCCAAGTAGCTGGGACTACAGGCGCCTGCCACAACACCCAGCTATTTTTTTGTTGCAGCCATCATTGCTGTTTGGCAGGCCTGGGCTGGATTTGAACCCACCAGCTCAGGTGTACGTGGCTGGCACCTTAGCCACTTGAGCCACAGATGCCAAGCCATACTTCTGGCTAATTTTTTAATTTTTTGTAGAGATGGAATCTCACTACATTGCCTAGGCTGGTCTTGCACTTCTGGCCTCAAGTGATCCTCCTGCCTTGGCCTCCCGAAGTGCTGGGATTACAGGTGTGAGCCACGGCACCTGGTGTCTTTTATCTGTAAGCCCCAGAAATCCTCATCTGAGGACAGAAATCAGTCTGCCAGTAGTAAAATTACTGGGTGCCTGTAACGTATGATGTGTATTGATTCAATACTTGGTGGTATGAAGGGGTCAAAACCAAAGTATAAACATGGTTAACTTTACATGTGGAATCTGTAATGTTGGGGGGTGCCAAAACAACAAACAGCAACTCAACACGTGATTGTGTAGTCCTTGATAAATGTGCTGTGCACATTGGGTGAAACCGATTTAATAGATATTAGAGGATGCATGCACAGGTGCAGGAAGGTCTAAAAAACTATTTGAACACAAAAACGTAGTTTGGTTTTTGAGAGCAGAGACCTTGGCTGTCTTGGTCACTGTTGTCTTAGACCTTAAGAAAAGGATTTGGGAACAAGTTGTTTGTTTTAGAGTTGGGGACATAAAACAAGAAAAGAAGAAAAGCTGATGAAAGAAAGGTGTGTTAATGAGTGGGTCATGGCTTTGAGCAGATAGGGCTCAGTACTATTAGGGACCCTCTGACTATCTGGAACATGCTTCAGAGTTGTCTCATTGAAAGTCCAGGAAGCCGAGGTATTTATCCACCATCTACCATGTCTCATTGGTTGAGAGTCCCTTGTAAGGAATTAACTGCATAACACTTTGTCTCTGCCCCTCCTGAGAAGGCTTCCATGGCCAGAAAACCTAAGCCTCAGCTTTTTGGCTTAAGTCACAGGGACTCAGGAAGCCACTTATAAGAAAGCAGGGTGCAGGTCGCCTCTAGGGTGTACAAGGGGAACATGAGCAGAACACCAACAGCATATGCTACGACTGCTGCATCTCCAGTGCCTAGACATGTAGAACAGCATAGTCTGCTATATAAACAGAACTCAGTGAATAATGTTGGAACAAATATATAACAGAATGTCATACTTGTAGGCATGGAAATAATTGTAGCTAGTTTAAAGATGTTAAAATTTTTTTTT